CTTTTGGGCTTCTTAGTCTAAGTTCAGGACCTATTGTCCTTAACTTTTGAGTTTGTTAGTCTAAGTTCAAGACTTTAGAATCTATTATCCTTAACTTTTGAACTTGTAACTGTAAGTTCAGGACTTATTTTCCTTAACTTTTGAGTTTGTTAGTCTAAATTCAAGACTAAGTGTTCTTAACTTTTGAACTTGTAATTCTAAGTTCAGGACCAAGTGTCCTTAACTTTTGAACTTGGAACTCGAAGTTCAAAACTAAGTGTCCTTAACTTTTGAACTTGAAACTGTAAGTTCAAGATCCATAACGCACGATTTTGCTCAATTGAACAAAATTAATCACAAAGACCAAGAATTTTGCAATTATTACATATGATCTAGCAGAAAATAAAAGTTAAAACAAAGAACTAGAAAATGTAAGAATTGTTTTTCTCACTGTGCATGCGCGAATTTTTTCGGGAAAGAGAGGAAAAAGGAGGGCATAGAATTTCAGACAGTGAGGAAAGTGATTGGAGCTTTGTAATTCTCGACTTCAGAATCTGATTCAGCAATACTTAGCCCTTAAGTTTGTCAAAACGCTGTCTCACAAACACAGTTCTTCTCCCTAACATGAAAGAGATAAAAGAAAGGATAACACAGTCTTTTCATATTAATTTTAATAAACTAGTAGTTATTATTGATAAGCATTGAAAATGCTGGATAAAAAGTAAATACCATTTTAAAAAGTGGCTACCCCACACAATTTTTACCGGCATAAGGCAAGTAAGACAAGTGCTTTAGGCCCCAAAATTTTAGGGGCTCCATTTTTCACTAGTAGTAGGTTTATGAATTAATTTTAAAAAAAATTGAATATCTTGAAGTAAAAGAAAAAAGTACAATTTTTTTAATAAACTAAGATTACAAACTTCTAAATTTTGAAGAATTAGATGCGTATGAAAATATTTTTGGTTTTCTATTTGGAGGTAAAAGAATTTAATATAACCAGGTAACTAGAATTTGGAAAGATATTGCGTTAACCACGAAAAATATTGATGATTTAGACTTATTTTTTAATAAAAGTATTAAAAAAATATAATACAAGTAAAAAAAATACACTAATCGATCTATATACTTGATCAGACAAAATGACTTTTTTTTTTTTTTTGGTCAAATGTCTATATTGCTTATAGAATAAGATTACTTGTAAAGAAATAAAATAGATAAATTTTTATTAGAAAAAAGGAAAAAAAAAAAACTTAAGGCTACTCATCAAGGCTTGGCTTTAGGCCACCGACTCTGTTGAGCCGCCCCTCCACTGGACAAGGTATGTAGTGGCTAATTTTATTAATCTATATTATATTAAAAGCATGAACCCCTAAACTAAAAAGTTAAATTACTTATTTACCCTTCAGAAATTTAATTATCCTACTTATTTAAACTAATTTATAATTTATAATAATAATAATATTTAAACAAAAATAAAGAGGAAATTTTTGGAAGAGTTGTGTATCTTAAAATGCTTCAAATTAGTAATGAAAACATTATTTCAATCGTTGCCTTTTAATCAAATTCAACTGCTGCCTTTGTAAAAGTAGTATCATACATTTAAATGGTTCTACATGATGATCACGCAAAATCTTTCTCCTGTCCAAATTAAATGTTCCTTAATTTTTCGAGGACCTATTCTCCTTTTCGTATAATCTGCACTCATTTACAATGAATGAACAGTTAGTTTTTGAATTTTTCTAGCACAAACTTTGCATATATAAAATTCCTTTTATAGTCCTTCGATTCTCATGGAACTTGTATAGCAATTTTGATAAACTTCTAATTGCTCGCGAAATGCTGGAAGCAAAACTTAATTCTTACACTTCTTTTTGTGCTATCACTAGGAATTTTATTGGCAGCATTATTATTGGTGCTAGGAAATTACCAAATGAAAATGTTTCTTTGCGGCAAATGTGGCTACTGATTATCAAGGTGGGATAGATGACAACAATTAATGGTGGTGGAATTGCTGCAGAAGATGGAACCGGTCGTGGTTTGAAGGCTTTATGTATTAATTGACTTGATTTTAGTTTTCTTATGCAGATCACATACTCTCATTTTATATTTCTTATTATATTAAAAGTAGGAAGACCTTAACTGAAAAGTTAAATTACCTAATTGCCCTTCTAATTAATTTAAATATTCTACTTAAAAAATATTAAATAAAAATACTAAATTTATTTGAAGAGGTGTAACTTTTCATAGTAGCATTAGTTAGTGATGTTCCACCGTTGTTATCTTTATTGAGGCCTAAAAGCAGAAGTTAATTTACCTATTTACCCCTCTTAAAATCCTAATTACTCTACTTATTTATAAATAAAAAAATAAAATAAAAAAACTAAAATTGTCGAATTCCTACAAATAGCCCCAAGCCTTCATGACCCTTAAAAAATCACAACCATTCGAACAGTTATCTTAAGGAAAATGTACTCTACAAATTATTTTTGCCAGTACAAAGATATAGACATGGGCAAGTCTGCTGCTAGATTGGATAAATGAAGGATATGCCAGATCAGTGTCTTTTATTTTCATAAATCATGGTTGAAGTATGCTAATGCAGACAATTAACGTCGCATAGTCTCTTAAGTAAGGTTTAATTGGTGGACTAACTTCATATGATCGTATAAACAGAAAGTGGCAACAAAATTAGACAAGATTTCAGCACTGAAGCCATGTTAATGGCAAAGCCGGATCGATCAATATTTCAAGGAGAAATAGAATAATTTTTACTCCACTTTTGATAATGAACGTATAGTAACCGAAGTATTTTGATACTTTTACTTTTACAAAATTAGGGAGAAGACAAATTAAGTGATTGATTTCTCTTTATCGCCTTTACATGAAGAAAGTAAGCCATATTGGGTTCTACTTTCTAAATTTATTCTGAAGTTTGCTGCCCTTGTGTCATGATCTCATAATATATAATGCGTCTTGCATGCATATTATGATTAGAAATAACTAAGGATATATTAGTAATTTTCTTTTTTGGATGATATTCAATTAGTTAATATACAATTTATTGCCTAAGCTATCTATTAGCCACAAATGTACAATGTTTATTAAGGGGATTCGAAAAATAAGAGAAGTAAACATTCGAGAAACCAAGGTGAATCAATATATATATATATATAAATTTCAAATTAATCTTATATACACATTGTAAAGGGGCGGATGAACCCCTTTCAGCCCTCTAGCTCCACCCCCTACATTAATACTTGAAAATATTCTTGATTGATGATCTTTTATCTAGGATTTAATGTCTCAAGAAGTTAACATATTAATGTTTTATGCATTACGCTTGGCATGAAAATGTGAATAAATAATCAGTTTTGGTGATTTCTCTTTGAGATTATTTATTTAAATTATAATCAAGATACTGTTTTATCTCATATGTTTATGTCTTTTAGCAGCCAGTGTAAAGTATTTATTCCACATTAAAAAATTAGTAAGATGATAAAGTAACTTTAACAAGTTGTTTGGAAGAAATTAATTTGTACTTATTAATTTTTGTCTTATAACTCAAACATATAGTTTTAGAGCATGTGTTGCGGTTAAAGTTTATTATTTTTAATGCAAATTTTATATTATTTGTTATGAGACCACGTGCAACGCACATAATCCGTAACTAGTAAAATAAAAATCGCCCCTTACATCATGTAAAAAATAAAAACTAACAAGATAAGAGATGCTAATATCAATTTAAGTCTTATAGAATGCACTAAGTTGATAATACAAATTGACAATCTAGCATCTATGAAGAATTGAGACTCGCCAAACTTACACAGGGGAAAGTAATGTTGATTCTCGGCCGCCTCATTCCATACCAATTACTCGCAAAACTCCAGTATAGTTACCATCATGATCTTCATCTTCTCGATTTCACAGGCTTAATTCACAAAGATGGACACTGACTCTTGTCTAAATTAAGTGTTGCTATTCCCTTTAATATAAGCTCACAGAATGAGTGAATACTTAATGCCCCTTCAATCGCAAAAGCTCTACTAGTAAGATATCTGCCAACGCATTTCCATCGCGGAAAATATGCAAATTTGCCGCATCTTCTCCCTTATGGACTGAGCAATTATTGCAACGGCATCTCATATGTTGGAAAACTAATTCAAAATTATAGTAGGAAACTTTAATTGTTTAGGATTTAATATTTGCCAGTTTATTTAATTCATGTTTAGTTAGGATTTGTAGTCATAATTATATAGGAATAAATTTTCCTGTTTCTTGTTAAAATAGGTTTCGTACTATTATAAATAAGGGTATTGCTAGCTTATTTTATGTGTGAAGGAGGAACAGAGAATTGTAGAGAGCATTTATAGATTTATAAGAAAATATTTTTTGATCATATTGATATCAGAGCTTCTACGGTCTTGGGAGAAAACCAAATAGCTTTCGTTGCCGGCGAGCAGCGCCAGCCAATATGTGTCGTTTGTCTAGCCATTGAGTATATTGGAAAACGACTATCCTTAAGGATATTCTTCATCAGTAGTGAGTCCGTCCCAATAATAACCTAGACGAAATGATTAGCAAGTCAAACAGTTAAGAGCTTCACTAATAACAATGGCTTCCACCTCTGTATTAGTGGAGACATGAATTTCCTTGGCTTGGGCGCATACAAGATCACCCATGGAATCACGTACATAAAATCCGTATGAGCTTCTCCCAGGATTTGCTCGACTCGCTCCAGCCCTACTGCATTTGATCCAATTCTAAGGCAGAAAGGACCAAGATAACTTTGTAAGAATGTATGGAGTTGCACATATTTTGTATTAAGAATAATTGTAAGTTGGTTGCTATTGTTAAAAGGTTGACCCAAATTGAAAGTGATATATTAAGATTTTAAAGTTAATAAGGTCTATAAGATTGTCACGAACCAAAATCACAACTTGTCGTGACGGCGCCTAACACACTTACTAGGCAAGTCGATAGTTACATAACAGCGAGACACTTGAATAAAATATACATTAATAAACTCAACAACGGAAGAATCTTATAAATATACGATAATAGTAGCTGAATCTATACTACAACCACCAAAAACATGATGTCAATGAGTACATGACCTACTAAGCATCAACATAGTCTGAAACTCTAATATAACTGTCTGAGTAATAGAGCAGTACTGAATAAAATAAAAAGGAGGAGAGGTCAAGGTTTGCGGGCGTCATAGTAGCTACCTCAAAGTCTCCGAGCAGGTACTAGCACCAAGATAACAATCACCACGTCCAAATGTACCTGGATCTGCACACGAAGTGTAGAGTATAGTATGAGTACAACCAACCCAATATACTCAATAAATATCGTAGCTAACCTTGACGAGGTAAAAGAGGCACAAATTATAAATGATGCTAGCTATCACCTGTACAGTTTCATCATTTAACAAGTACAAAGCAGTAATGAAATCAAGCCATAAAGCACACGAAGAAACATACGTATGTATGTATGTGTAGGGAGTTTGTCAAAAACTCTGCTCAGTCAATATTCGGCATAGAAATATGATATGCAGTTAAATTAGGTAAATAATTACGAAACTTGCAAGTGAATATGAAATGCAAAATTCAAACAAACACTCGACAGATTTTCTCAACCTTTCCAATTCAATACCAAACCACTGGTCCGATTTTCTCAATATCCGCGTGTGCACCATCAAGAGAGAAACATGAGAGGGTGACCCTAGGGGGTGGATTCATGTCCACACGCAAGCATGGTCAATTCAACGTGCTACCAACCCGGCGTGATCACATGCTTAATATCATAATCCCCCCTGCGTGGTCACAGGTACAACAACACAATTCGCCAACGTGGTCACATGCATAACAATATAATTTGTCCGGCGTGGTCACATGCATAACAATACAATCCGCCTGGCGTTGTCACATGTATAACAACACAATCCGCCCAACGTGGTCACATGCATAACAACATAATTCGCTCGGCGTGGTCACGGGCACCCATTCCAATCATATCACACAAGAGAAAATAACAAGAATACATGTACGTGATGAATAACTAACAAATCTCATGCTCCTGAACTGGTAAAAGTGACATGCTAAGTGTAGGCATGTGCAAAGTGTATTATCATAGCTCGAATTGATAAATCTCATCACATAATAGTATTTATCAAGTTCATTCAGGGATTTAAACCTTTAGTAGCCTCTAACATGGCTTAAATAGTTCACAATAATGTTATAAATGCGAGAAATATCATAGCTTAAAGCTTAACAGTCAAATCTAGGCATATCATAGTCTAAGCACAACTCGAGCATGGGTAAGGTATTAGCACATGGGCTCAAACCCCAAACATGTGCGCACCCAACAGCATGTAACCATCATAATAATTCAGGCAACTAGTGCCTCAACCAAGTTTAGATAAGATACTTACATCAAGCAAACCAAATCACTCCGCTAACAACCCTTTACCGCGCGTATCAACCTTCGAAAGACTTGAATCTAGTCAAAATAACATAATGCTATCAATAAAAGCCATAGAAGTGAATCCAAAAGATATAGCTAAGGTCGTTAACTCAAATCAAAAGTCAACTCAAAAAAGTTAACTCTGGGCCCGCACCTCGGAATCCGATAAAATTCATAAATTCCGAACACCCATTAAATTACGAGTCCAACCATACCAAAATCATCCAATTCCCACCATAAATCGCCCCTCAAATCCACAAATTTTACTCTCCAATAACATAGTCCCAAAATCCCCCAATTCTAACTTAGATTTATGATATATAGGCGAAATAATCAATGGGTATTCAATATTTATGGACAAAAGTAAATAAAAGTCACTTACCTCTTCCAATTAGGTGGAACCCTCTCTAAAAATCTCCCTAGACAGAACTTCAAAATCCCAAAAATGAGAAAAACACTCAAACCCTCATTTTTAACACACTGCCAGCGATTTCGTTTCTGCGGCCTACATTACCGCACCTGGGGTTCTGCTTTTGCAGACAAAATCTTGCTTTTCCGAAGATGACTTAAATACAGACCTGCCGCTTCTACGGCCAAAATCCTGCTTCTGCAGGTCCGCTTCTGCGGTCTACCAAGTGTTTCTGCGCGCCCGCACTTGCGAGAACCATCCGCATTTGCGTTTCCTGCATATCACACCAAACTTTGCTTTTGCGAAACAACCATCACAGAAGAGACTTCGCTTCTGCGGAACCCAGCTTGATTCTGCGAAAATCCCCAAGCCAGGCCCCTTCCGCACCTGAGACACTCCAGCCGCATCTGCGGTCAAGCCCATCGCAGATGCGATTACACCAGCAACCTAAATTCTTCAGCAATGCATTAATTCTAATTTTTGATCCGTTAGCCATCCGTAATTCACTCGAGGCCCCTGAGACCCTATCCATACATACCAACACATCCCAAAACATCATACGAACCTAGTCAAAGCCTCAAATTACATCAAACAACATCAAAAAAACAAATCGCACCCAATTTAAGCCTATTGAAACTAATGGATTTCAAGCATAAAGATTAATAGGGGTTATCCAACCAGCCTATAATGAAGTTCTAGATGGTCACTATTACAAGGTTCATATAATAGTCATGGTTCTACACTGTTCAATTTAGATCATTAAGTCTAGTGTAAGTCATGAACTATGGTGAGGATCTCTTTCATTTAATCAACGGCATGTTATAATATTACAAATAAGGGATCACTATAGCATACTGCAGCAGAAGAACTCTTACCAAGACAATAGGAAAGGTCTAAAAGCATAGTTCAATTAGGTTAGCAAACACAATAGTACAGTTGTTATTTAAACTGACAAGGCATATATAACATTAACTTAAGGCCTCAAGATAGGATTCATTCGAAAGAGGCATTAGTCATTAAGAAGGCATTTGTTATCTATCCAAATTATGAGAAATTAAGTTTATTAACAGTAGAAATTAGCTAGCAACACCGACGCAATCATAACTTATCAGGAGATAATTGATTCAATTAACAAGAATAACATGTGAAGGAAGAATACAATAAACACAAACATAAGCTACTGATATGAACTGCATACGAAAGCTAATCAACAGAGAAGACATCATATACACGAAACAACACAATTAATCAAAGAAGAAGGAGGGTCCGAGTACACTCACCTTCTGCAGGGCAGCGGACCAAACAATAGCTCTTTATTTATCCGTTTAGGAATCCAAACACCAAATGAATCACGTACAAGAATTAAACTCGAGCGAAAAGAAGGAAAGAAAAGGTTAGGGAGAAGCTAATGGAATTTAGAATTTAGCCGAAATACTTAAACTTTTAGATATTTTTTACTAGTAATTTTAGGTGCATTGATTGGTGTCGATCTATGTTAGGTGAGAGCATTGAAAGCTCCTATTTATAGTGGCTATTGAAGCCTTATGGTTCCGGTTAATTCAAGATCGATAGTTGATGATGACGATAAGGTAGATGATGATAGTGAGAAGGTGAAATCAAAAGGGAAAATAGGGAAAATCAGTGATGAATTTTACCTGAGCATGAAAGAAGTCGAACGTTGAGGACTTCGACCCAGTGGTCAAATGCTAATGTCCAGAGGTCACTGTGTTTGACTTCTGGACAAAGAATAATGATGATAAAGCTGAAGATACATCCATACATACTTCGATTCGACGGAACGTAGGACAGATTGAGAGATTTACATGTTACATAGTTTTAGGTCTATAAGGGTTTTAGAATGGGGGTTTTAGAATGGGGCTTTTGAATTTTAGTGATGAAATAGGAGAAATCGGCTAAGATTCACGAGTATAGGGGACAGATCGAGTGTTCACGGGTTTGAATTTGTGATCTTGCACTAATTTGTACAAGGATTCATGACTGATGGGAGATGAGGGTTTGAGAGAATAGAGGGGAAAAGAGAAATGGGAGGCAGCCATTCAAGGTGAGAATGATTAGGGTTAGGGTGTTTGGTAGATTAAAAACGAGGGATGGGATTTGGACTGTTGGAGCATTTGATCAATGACCCTAATAATTCAGGACATAAGGGTTTAAAGAACATGGTTATTAGGAAAATACGGGGATCGTTGGATCTGTGTGATCCTACGATTGAGACAAAATCTGGCATATGGTTTAAATAGAGGAAAAAGTAGGAATAAATGTGGACCGTCGATGATTTAGATCGACGACCCAGATTCATTGTGCTTGTTTTGTGAGTGAAGGGGACGGGTGATGTGGCACAATTCTTTGGCTCTCCAGGGTTGGCATGGATTGCCAAAGTGGATAGGAGGGGTTAGTTCCGGACCGGGTCAAGTCGCATTGTGCCTGTGTTTTGTGCTGAACTTTATTTAAAGAATGGCCACATTGTATTTAATTAGGTAAGTGCAATTGTAGCCTTTTAATCTTTAACCCCTTTAAAAAAGCATAATTAAATTTAATTAATTCTAATTAAATATGATAAAAATATAATTATCAAATACATTATAAATTATTGTAATTAATTAATTGCATATTAAAACACTTTATTTATTAAATTAGAAAACTAATTTCGAATTAATTTAAAATAAGCGGTGTAATTAAAAATCAAAGATTAATTTGTTAAATTAATTGTAAAACTTGTGTTATCAAAATATAGAGGTTATTTAATAGTTTCAACATAGTAAGGGGTAATATAATTTATACTGAATTATTAATTTAACACTATTAATTACTATCAGCGAGGATCTTCAGCAATAATATCCTTTGACTTGATTCAGTACCAATTTCATGGCAATTTCACTCCATCTTGATTTTTCAATTCGTGTGACCCTTTACCGGTGATAGCTTAAACTCGGTAAGGTCCCTGACACCTCTTTCTCTTGCAATGATCTGTTATTTTTGCCACGATTCGTCCTTCTATCGGAAGCGAACCTATCTGATGACTGGAATCCTTTACTATTACGCCCATCAGTCCTCTCGTAAGATAGAAAATGACTCTTAGAAGACCTCTAATCTGCATTAAAGTTAATTTTAAACTTATCTTGATTCCTATTACGACTCCGTCCCTTGGAGGACACCGAAAAGCTAAGTTGATCATTTTTTATCCTTATCTTTGACTTGTAGCGATTGTGAACATATGCCCGTGTGGTTGCCTGAAACTCGAGCAAGTTCTCCTTCAATTTTTGGGAGGCATCGGAACTCAACGAATTGAGGCCCATTGTAAATGCCTCCACTGCCCACTCGTCCAGAACCGTTGCTAATAAGATTCTTTCTTTCTGCAACCGGATCACGAATTTTTGCAGCAACTCAGATTGTTCTTGCAAAATTTTGAATATATCCGCCTTACTGGCCTGGACCTTTTTTGCTCCAGCATGAGCTTTGATGAACGAATATGCAAGCATTTCAAAAGAATCGATTGAATGCTCAGGTAAAAGAGAATACCATGTCAGGGCACCCTCCGTGAGGGTTTCGCTAAACTTTTTCAACAAAATCGACTCGATCTCATCCTGAGCCAAGTCATTTCCTTTTACTGCTATGGTGTAGATCATGATGTGCTCCTGTGGGTCTGACGTCCCGTCATACTTTGGAATATCCGGCATTTTAAACCTTTTTGGGATCAGCTCCGGTGCCGCGCTTGGTTTAAGCAGCAACTGCATATACTTTCTCGAATCTGGTTTTTTTAACACCGGCTACGCGCTTCGGATCCGATCTATCCGAGCATGAAATTCCTTCGCATTCAGGTCCGTTCATTCATTCATTCATTCATTAATTCATTCATTTCTCTCATGAATATCATGATTTTGAAAGGATCATTTAAGTTGTTGTTCCCAGGTCTCGTCGAAATTGACTTCATCCCTTGGAATATTTTTATCGATTCTTTGAGCTGTCTAATTTATGGGAACGCTGGGAGGAACCTTTCATTAGCATTATTGCAAGCACACGATAATGCCTGCTTCAATTCCGTCATCACACAATCTTGCCATGTAAGGTGATCCACAATTGCCTTTTGTTGTTCTCTCAAGATTTTGACTGTTTTGACAACATGCTCATCCTCTGCATCATCAGGAGTCGGGCCCCGCACATGCTTAGGGTATTGTCCTATGTGAACTGGGGTTGCTTCATCCCCTTCGTTGCGTGTTTTGCTGGTTGAATCATCACGATGAACAAATCCTCCCATTCATCGTGTGCTCCAACATTGTAAGCGTAGTTGACATCATTAGCTGCCATATTTGATTTTTACTTAGGTAAAAGTCAAAATTTATTTGTAACAAACGAACGGATCAAAGTAATTACAGAACTGTCTATGCCCCACGGTGGGCGAGAAACTATTTACCCCTAAAATGGTATAGTTGAATTTATAGAGTGATTTATAGACAAGCAAATCGATTTGACACAAAAATAATAAGTAAGTAAGGACAAAAGTAAGATTGCCAGATGAAATTAAGATTAACGGGCCTGACTCGAAACTTAACCTTTCCGATGACAAGAGTGAATACAATGTTCAAGTGTTAAAATTGAGCGTAATATAAAAATAGATTATAGCTTTTTGTATACAAAGTTTTTCGTGCCTACAATAGATGGTAATCCGTCTATTTATAGCCCTATTCAGGGAAACAAGATCCTCAAATCAAGTTCCTCTTAAATGAGAATAAAATCGTCATTGATGGGTGTATAATAGTTGGTTATAAATGCAGACATTCTTTGTAATGACTTCCTTTTGAATGTTACCCGATGGCAATGCTTTGAATCATTGTTACTGCCCGCTCTATCTCGGGGCTTGTTCAACATTGTTTGGACGCTTGCATCCGTTGACAGCTGTTCGCTGACTCACATCCCACATGTCTTTAGTTCTACGTGTCACTTCGTCATTCACCCAACTGTCATTAACCAATTTTACTCCATATATTTTGCATTAAACAATGTTTATGGAAGAAATCCCAATAATTTGCGTGAAACGGAGGAACAAATTGATCTGCAAAAGTGGAAGCTATGAAGAAGAAGTGTATTCTTGTCTAGTTAATTACAAAGTGGCTAAATGTTAATTATTTTTTAAATTATGACTACATCTTAATCGGCGGTCAGAAAAATAACTATTTGCCTATTTTATTGTAAATATGGCGTATAAAACGGAAAAATGACGATCCAACTATAACACTGACAGTTGGTTGGTTTGGGG